AAATGAGAAGAAATGGAGAAGAAGACCGTTCTTACCTTCTTTATATTGAGTTTAATATCGTCAGGTTGATCCGAATATTCAATTGCGTTTTTCTCCTCATATTATTTTCTGGACTTACATGATTCTGCTTGTACGCCCACGATATGATCTTCTTCACCATTTTTTCCCATTTCCAATGTTACCAACATAAAATATCCATTATTTTACGTTGGAACACTGGAGATAAGGATTAGGGACAGATGTGGAAGACAGTTTTTTCTTTCTGAACGCTAGCTGCGGGAGATTTCACGAATCTAGTCGAATCGGCCATCTTTATTTGATATTTGGTATTCTGTTTCTCGAATGAATCGTGTAAACTCGATTCGATTCCTCGATTGCTCAAGAGGAGTCGAATTGATGCGTTTTGTCAATCAATTCTTATCTATCATAGAATGTATCTTTTCATCTTCATCTCTATTTGAGATTAGATCACCTTGTTCATGTGGAAGTGTGTAATCAACAAATTTTTTCATGAATATAATATATAAATCATTTTCGACGTCGTTCAAACTCAGAGATGCCCACTGGGATATGTAAATGAAATTTAAAGAACTGCATAGAACAAAGCCACAGGACGATTTTCAGAGTCTAATCGTCGTGAAATCAATAAAAAACTATCAATTCATTGGGGCTTGGCAAGTGAACTCCTGAGAAATTGCATGAGGTAGCATCTTTCAGTAATTCTCTTCATACTTTGACCTATCCACTGAGTGGGGTTTCAATTACCCTTCTGCTCTGAATAGCTCAATGAATCTCGTTTCAGGTGAAGGAAAAGGATTAGGTACCTCTGTCTCATATTTCTTGGCGTCGACGAATCAGATCCAAATTTTTTTGTCTATCTTAAGCTCCTGAAATACCACCTGAAACAATTGGTAACATTTTTATTTTTGTCTTGAGATTGGAAAAATCGGTGCTCGTTTGCTCGTTTTGTTTCATTGGATCAAAATCTCATCCCATTTCGCCAATAACCGACGATTTCCGAAGTCGAATCCCAGCTCTGAACTGCTCTATTGACTATTCGATGCTATTCGATACTTTATGAAATATAGAAGTGTCAAATCAGGAATGAAGTTATGGCTTTGTGGGATACGACTCGAAAAAATATACTATTGGATCGACTTCAATAACTCTTTTTGAATACTTGCTAACATTTCCCTACTGTGTACGTGTGCCTCTGGCAGAGAGAACTTGTAAAAATATGATCGAGACCGGAGGAGCAGAGGAAAACGGACCGAGAGCAGAGAGATTTATTCCTGTCGTCCTTTTGGCGTCCCTATAATAGTGTCCGGTGTCCGACGCCGCTTATTTTTACGCCGGCCACCGGTCAATGTCGACCACAGATCACGATTTGTATAAATTGCTAGGCAACCCTTGCGTTTGCTGACCAAACGTTCCCCGATTACCGCCAAGGAGCATAGAAGAATCGAGAATTCTCATGCAGAACTCACATAAGTCTAAAAAGGAATATTCCCAGATATAATTACATATAATTACATGAAAAAATGGATATATCGGGTGACACAGGAGACATATATTGGTATTGGTATTGGTAGGTTGGATAGTGACAGATGCGCTGCGACCTAATTAGATCTATTGTGCCCCATCTGCTCCTGCTATATCAAGGATTTTCTGTTTATAGCAGCCCCTCGAGATTCAATTCCTTCAGGAATTTGAGGATTTCGAGGGGGTCTAGCTGTGGGATTTCTTCCACAGTCAGCTGGTGTGTTCCCAGTATGTTCAATCTTTTGTGATGTACAGCGTCACACTCCAACAGTATGTGATGGGGTGTTTCTGGTTCTTCCTCACAGAATCTACAGGTGCCGTCCTCCTGTAAGCCTAGCTTCCTTAGGTGTTCTTTGAGTCTGCAATGCCCCGTTAGAAATCCCGTTATTGCTTTGAGACTTCCTTTGCTGAGGTTTGTTAGTGTCTTAGATCTTTCTCGGTTGAAATTTCCAATGAGATCTTTCGCCTGCCGTAGTCCTGGAAGTCTTCTCCATTGTCATTGAAGCCCCTTGTCGTGCCAGAGCGTCTGCTTGTTCATTCCCCTCCACTCCGATGTGCCCTGGCACCCAGAGGAGGATAAGGAGACATATAACAGTCTGTAGTTTTTTTATTTGAAGAGATAAAAATTCGAGATTCACAAGGGTTATATTATCAATGCTGGCCCTTCCCTTGAACCCATTGATAATTTTCTTCAACCACCTGTTCGATCGGAAGTAGACCCACCTTTTTTTTTTCAAATAGCACCCTGTATATTTCTGTAGCCCATCTTATTTGCCTTGAAATTCTGTCCCAGAAGATTGCCAATGATTTCATTGAGTTTGAAAGAATCATCCGAAAAAAAAATCCTTTTTCTTCCGTATCTTACGCAATTATTGAGGTAGGATTCTGTAATTCGCAGGAGAAAAGAAGATTCCAAATATTATCTTCGGTGATATACACTGATCGCCAGCAGCCATGTGGAAAGTTCTATGGCTGCTGGCGAGCAGTGTAGATCACTGATAATCTTATTTGGTCGTTGACTGTATCTCTAGACTTTGCCTTCCTTCTGCAAATTTCAGAATCCTAACTCAATAATTACGTAATATACGTAGGTGTTTCCAAATTATCCAAGAAAAATATGGATAGTTAGTGAATTTGACATCCTGACTTCGATTCCAAAGTGATTTTCAATCTATCTTGCCTCCTGATATCATTTTCCGGAAATCTGGGTGGTTCCGTGGCTGTTGGGGAGCAGTATATTTCACTGAAGATGACCCGACTCGGTCATAGAGTGTATGTTTGGTACATCTCTTGCTCTTACAAAAAAAAAACAAAATGAAAACGGTATTGAAGTTTAATGCGAACAGCCCTTCTGTCCCAAATAAGTTTCAGAAATTCATTCTGAGCATTGAAAAAGATCAAACGGAACACATAAATATCAAGAACTCGATAAGAGTAAATTTGGTCATAATATTGATATTTTTTCTAGTTTATGGACAATCTCGGTCTCTGTCTCGGTCTTGATTTTTCGTTCTCTAATGCCGGAGACCATTGAAGGGAGTTTTAGATCCCTAGCAATCTGGTTATTCCGAACATACCAAGGACTGTCATCATTATCGCGATTTGGTTTCGTAATGTTTGTAATCTGGTGATATGAAATTGAGTTGTGTGGCCCCAGACCACGATCCCCAGACTACCGAGGCATACAGTGATATTGGCCTGATAGCTACGATGTGAATATTGAATTTTTGTCTCAAACCCAATTTACTTCGTCTGTTTAGAAATGGAGACAGGGCTCCAATGGCTCGTTAAGCTTTTAAAACTTGCTGTTCAATGTGCTAGACCTAAGTATTTAACATGTGAAGACCACCATAACTCATGACCATCCACGACTATTCTGGTTCTGGGAGGCCTTCGCTCCCTTCCGAGTGCGACCAATTGTGTTTTTGCAGGATTCAATTTGATCTTCCATCTTATGAAGTACTCCTGAAGAGAATTCAGTGTGCTTTGGAGGTTCATTGCTGCTTTCTCGAATTGCTCGAAATTTGTCGAATATGCAAGAACTGCCGTATCATCAGCAAAAAGTTACATCTTGCACATCACTGGTCTCGACAAATCGCTAGTATATAAACTGTACAACAGCGGCAATAAAACTGCACCCTGAGGAACACCAGCTTCAATGGGCTTGATACCAGATCGTTAATCATCAATTTTCACTTATTTCCTCACTGATTCAAATCGTGAGGAAAGCCTACAGGGTGTACCGAAATTTGTTCCTATAACGAGATGTTTCCAAATAGTGGAGTTTTTTCTATGCATCTTGCTCGCGACGCTGCACTCGAGGATTTTTTTTCCGTTTCGAATAATTCCGGATGTGCGATGGCGACGAGCCATTATATGGACAAGCTTCGATCCGGACGAAAAATAGAAACGACATGGTTTTTTATTTCTGTCATTATTATTACTGATGAATGTTGGTGATTAAGCTGTTCAAAGCGGCGTATACTTATAGACTCATATACACAGGGTGTTCCAAAAAAAGTTGCAGCTGTAAATTAGGAGATATTTAGAAAAAATAGTTTTTTTCTCCAAATGGCATTGAAAGTGACTTTTTAATGACACATAACAGGTAGAAAAGATGTACTTTTACTGCGTAGGCAGAAAAAGTTTGTTGCTATTCAACGTTTCAAGTAGTTGGAGTCAAATCTGGTAATCAAAATTGACAATGACTTTGGGTGAACAAAAAATGATGAATTATTTGGACTTTGCGTGAAATTGAAAAGAATTTGGAGAGAAAATTATATGTTTCACATGGAAGAAAAGAAGATGTAATGGCTTGGCTGGTTTCCTAGCCTTGGCTACGCGACCTAGGCTATCACCTTTTGTTTTGAATCTTGACAGGAATTCGATAAATTTCTTGATGAGTTTATCCGAAATGGAGGTTACTGGATTACTAAAAATATCGTCGATGAGATGTGCACGATTTTCGAATTTTTTTTCTCATAGAATATAGAATAGCTCAACTTTCAATTTACAATTTCAGTTTTTCGCTTCCAGATTCGAGAGATCGTTTATCATTTAGCAGAATCTACTAGAGATCAGAATTCCAAAATAGTCAATCTTGAATTAAATTGAATACTAAATTGTTCTCATATATAGGTAGTTGTGACTAACAAGAAATATTTTTGTCAACGATTCATTCAGAATAATTCTTCATAAATAATTGTGAAGAAAGTCTACTCGAGGTCACTTCCGGCAAATACTGTTGTCATCTTCAGTGAGTGCAAAAAAATTAATATTTGTGTATTTATGAAGTGAATAAAGTCTAGTGAACATGACAACTCTTTCTCAGTAACTCTGTTCATGTTGTGAAAAAATAAATAAATAGATATGTGTAATCGTAATGATAAAACTTTATTCTTTGTCTTTGCATGTCGTATAAATAACTATTTACAATACCATCGAGCCATAGCCAGTTTTCACCATACGTTATGGGACAGTCCGTGGGAAGCGACAAGTGGAGCGGAGTACCCTTGAGCGACAGCCGGGGCGACCACAGTATGGGCAGCCAAAGACGGGGCAGCCCAAGCTTGAGCAGCGTACCCATGCGCCAAAGAGGGAGCAGCGTACGCGTTCACCAAAGACGGAGCAGCCACGGTGTGGGCAGCGTATCCGTGAACCAGAGACGGGGCAGCTACGGTGTGGGCAGCATACGCTGGGGCAGCCAGTCTAGCGTGGACGACGGGAGCCTGAGCGGCGTAAGCGACAGGTGCAACGGCCTTGACGTGCACAGCTGCCGGCTCGTTGTGCACTACAGCATTGAAGCCGGTGTGGTCGTCAGCTGCGTATTCCACGGTACGCTTGCTGCCGTCAGCTTCGATGAGGGAGTAGCTGCCTCTCACGGCGTCTCCTCTGCGGGATTCCTGCTGGCTGTGGTGGTCTCCGGTGTGAGGATCGCTGACGCCGTATCCGTAGTCGTAGTGGGCGGGGGCCGAGGGTTCATGGGCGTGGACTACTGGGGCGTAGGCGTGGACTACTGGTGCATGCGCGGCGTAGGCGTGGACTGCAGGAGCAGCGTAGGCTTGGAGGGCTGGGGCAGCATAGGCGTGGACTGTGGGGGCGTGTTGTTGGTGGGTGGAGTAGGTGGAGATGGAGTTGTGGGCGTTGAGGGCCAAGGGGGCGAGGACTCCACTGTGGGAGGCGCGTGCTACGGCGACTACGGCGGCGAAAAGTACGAGCTAGATATGGAAAAAACCAAATTGATTATTATTATTCTGAGGTTATGAGACTCGCGACCATATACCGGGTGGCTACGGAAGTATTGCCTACGGAATATCTCAGTTATTGTATGAAGTAGGTTTGTGAAATTTGTAGCGTCGATATAATGACATAAAAGCTAGAATTTGAGCATATTGACATGTCGAAGTTAACTTCCGGTCTGACCGGAAGTAACATCAACTTCTTATTTTAAATGGAAACCTTATTCTTTTTCTTTTCGCTTTATTCAGCATTCAACTCCCTTTCTAATTACATATCACAAGTTGGTATCTAACCAGAAACTAGATCAGAAAAAAATTATTATTGAAATTCACCGAGCAGGCCGTGGAAGCAAAATGGAAGCCAAAAATTGAAAAGTTGGCTATGGAAACCATACTTCACTTGATAACAGTTGCTACTACAGAATATAATTTATCATTCCACATTATTTGTTATTTGAAGAATAATGATTGGATTTCTTGGTGTTTCATTCCTGTATAAATGAATGAATAAAGCGGAAAGAAAAAAAAATAGGGTTTTCATTTAAAATAAGAAAGTTGATGTTACTTCTGGTCAGACCGGAAGTTAACTTCGACATGTCAATATGCTCAAATTCTAGCTCTTATGTCATTATATCGACGCTCCAAATTTCACAAACCTACTTCATACAATAACTGAGATATTCTGTAGGCAATACTTCTGTAGCCACCCGGTATAGCTGAATATTTTGTGTTGGGTATCTTCTAAAAATGGTTCATCAGAATTAATAATGATGTACGAATAATCATGATGCAATTGGGAATCAGTATCGCATACAATTGTTTGGAGCAAAAAAAAAACTATGAAATAACACGATCCGATGCGAAGTCTTTATAGTTATTTCAAACTACGAGTCAGTATAATTTAGGAATATTTTATTCATCAAATGATGGGTGAACGTTAGGTGCTTTCCAGTGTGTTAAGCAAGAATGAATCGTATATTCGAGTCTTCCTTCACAAGCAATCGAGAAAACATTGGGGAAATTACCCTAGTGCATCAAAAAAACTTGTTGCTCCTCGAAACTATCAGTTTGGTTTGTTTTCAAAATTTGGCGAAGGAACGAATGAATCGTGCCCATTCACCAAAATGTGAAAAAGATGATGTCGAAATGCAAAATTCTTGAATATGATTATTTCAATCTGTTACAATGCACGGGTTTATAAACTAACATATAGAAGGAAAGATTCACAAACTGTTGATAGTATCATACCTTTTTAACTATTACATTAATGAAATAACCATCATGTATGGAATACTGACAATGCAATTTTTTTATGCATTTTTCTCGAATCAGAAACAAATAGTCGGATAGGCATATAGAAGAGTGGAATTATTTTCAATATCAGGCTCATCCAAATCATGTAATTGATTATGGTCCATTCAGAATAGTTCGAGAGTTCGAAACACAAATGAGAGATCATTGTTTTTTGGATATTCAACAGATAGCCAGGAGAGTAGTTGTGGTTTCTGTTGAATATTCAAAATCATATTATGTGCATTTCTTTATATGAAGATTTTGTTTTCAAATTCTTATCGTGTGTCTTCAATAGATGTAATTCAATGTTCGTCGTGGCATATAGCCAGGAAAGTAGTTGTTTTCTGTTGAATAAACCGAGAAAGAATTAATATCTTCATCACATGGAGAATGCGAATTCTCAATGTATTTCTTTATATATATCCATTGTTTTGTGTTCATGAATATATCTCAGAATATACCTTTTCAAGATGTAATTCAATGTTCGTCGTGGCATATAGCCAGGAAAATAGTTGTTTTCTCTTGAATGAACCGAGAAAGAATTAATATTTTAATATATAATAAGAATAGGAATATAGGTGATTCAACGTATGTTGTAATGTAATTGATTAGGTACTCATATTCCCTCAAATCAAAGCATTCTTCATGGTATATCTTGATTTGAAAACCAGCAGTGAATAATTTTCGAAAGGTGGACAGTCGGTGATAACTGTTTTTACTGACAAATTCGAATTTTGCATATAAAGTAATGTTTATCCAAATATATTCCTTCCAAACTCATTGAAGAATCATGTATACATAAATAATCCTATATTCGTTATTGAAAAATTTGGTTTTTCATCAGATTTTCCAAAGATAACGGAGAATTATTCCTCAAATTCAATGATTAATTATGAAGGGGCTGTTCCAACATCATGCATTTTTAGTAGAAAATGGTAGAAATAAACTCCCTCAAAAGAAAAAATTCTGTGGGACGTTGCAGCCTTATTTGACAAGAGAAGAATAGTCTTTCCTATTGCTCACTTACCTTGAATGCCATGTTGTTTGTTGCTTGTTGTTGTGAACTGAACAATGATTTTTCTGTGGCCAATTATCAATTTATACTATTTTTCGCGTCCGCATAGGCTTTAGCCCCACCCCGGAACAAATTTGGAACCTTTCACTGATTTTGTTAAGCAAAAAAATAACATCTTGGCCGACAAGGTCCGCGAAGGTCATTTTCAATCATCGAGGCACCAGTTTAATGGCGAAGAATTCGTCTGTTAGCTAATAATAGACAGCTAACTAATTGGATCAAGTTCACTTCAAATACATTTGGATTCATTATAGGGGTCTTCGTATGTAAAGGTATGTATATAATCCAATCAATATCCTATATTGTATACGGACATTTTAGGAACATTTCATGATATTTAGCTTCGAAAAAAGTTTACAATAGCCCGTTGTGGTTCTTAATTGTTGAATGTATGTCTCTATTACCGTTTGTACCATAATGATGTCGATGATGGCATATTAGCAGAATGCGCTCTACGGTTTAATAATCAAATTTCATACGAAATACATTTCTTCATTTGATTGATCAGTTCAAGTGTATGCAGCTAGTACAAATATTCAAATTCTCAAATATATATGAATGTTAATATGTATCGGGTGGTCACAAAAAAACCGGAAGTTTTTATTTTCCTCGTGGTTTCATCATTTCTCAACCGAATTCGAATTTCTTGGCCTCGTTTCATAGCTAAAGGGCTACAGTATACAGTGGAATATTTGAAAATTCCATAATAAACAAAAACAAAATGGCGGATTCTACCAAAGTATTGTCATTTACAAAAACCGCTGGAGAAAAAGAAAATCAGATTTTTTCCAACCTGTACCGATGTCATCTCAGGCTATTCATTTCTGAAGAGAATGAGTACTCGAACATCGAAATTGAACAAATAGTCCAGTAGATACACTCATTTCTTTGCAATTTGTTATGGAGTAAATGTGCGAATCTCGTATAAACGATTATTATTATTTTGCTTCCGGCTTCATGAAGAATCAATCGAATTTGGATTTCTTAGAGTTATTTCAAAGATAAAGAACTGTAGTAAATGATTGAACATTTGAAATCTGATAATTGAAAGAATCAAAATGGTGGAGAATCCAGAATTTTTGTGATTTTCAAAAATCTCTAAATAAAAAAATGTGTATCCTTCCAATCGGGAACGATACAATATTCCGATGATTCTTGAAAAAAAAAACAAGCGAAGATCCCAATGAAACAGAACATCTTTACATCAGAACATTTTCACGGGTTTGAAGTCTTCTCGCATTTTTTCAAAATTTTAAATCAAGAATTATTCAAATGACATTTTTGTTGTTAAAAAAGATGAACGAACCATCAGAAAGGTGCGTGAGACAATAGGTACGAAGAATTCCAATGCCAGATGCAGATTTTCGACATATTTGTTCTTTTCCTACATGTTCGAATCTGTTCTCTCGAGTTTTTTCAGAATCTTAAAACCATTTTTGTAGATGATTGAGGAAAAAAAGAGGAAGCTTCTTAATGAAGATACATCGACTTTCCCATGAATCCCGACTATAGCAAAATTCGCGAAAATCCCATTTCCTGATGACACAGACTTTCCCAAATCGATTAGGATCTTGAGTAGTTTGCTAGGACCTATACAGGGTGGAAACTCTAACTGGAATTAATTCGCTACTAAAGGGGTGAATGATTTTTCTGAAAATTCGCACTTCAACGTTTAAAAGTATCTACCTACATTTGGCGAGCAATCTGGAGAATATAACCATATATAACCCTTCAAGGGTAGCAGGAATCTACCCTGACATGTTTTTTTCAAATGCAACCCTATATGGCTTGCGACCCTTCATTGGAAAGATGGTTGAAAGAGAAAATTTCGACTTGTAGTGACAATGATATAGGACATTTCCACCAATTTGCAATAATACTTCGTTTCGAACTGTGAATACAGCAAAGAAATTATTTTTTTTTGTGGCTTTATATAAACACTGTAATAAAATAGCAGATAGCACTTGGAGCAAAAATTTGCCATCAATTGTTCAACACATATTTTGAGCGATTGATATACGATGAAAAAAAAACAATTTTAAAATTTCATTTCAATTTCATACAACCTATAAACGAATTAAAAACTGACTAGTAAGCTGGATTCCTCGTTCCACCAGCTTTCCAATGGAGGGTCATAAGCTATAGGGTTACATTTGGAAAAAATCATGTTGAAGGTGGTTTCAGCTACCCTTGGAGGGATGTATTCTCGATATTGCTGGCAAAAAGTAGGTGAATATATTAAATCGTTGACGTACGTCCCCACACTGTATATAGTTTTCGAGATATTAGCGCTTATAGTGAACGATGCGTATTGCTAAAAAGAAAATTTTCATTTTCATTGGCCAATGAGAATCCGAGTTAAAACGAACGATATCGATTCATCCATTGAAGATATTCAATTCGCATATTTCCCAGAGTAAAAAGAATGAGGTAATTTCATTGTAGAAGAATCAATCGTTCAACCATAGATTGATATCCTTGAAAATGTCAAAGCACCTACGGGTTACGGTTCATCAATCACCAGTGTACTAAAAGTTCATTGTTTCCAGGACCTCTCATGGGCGTGGCTCTTTCAATTTAATCGGTTACTTTTCCATTCCTCTTCATCATTGCCGACGAAGGTATTTCCAAGCAACCTTCTTGTTTACTAGAGTGAATTTTTATGGTTCTTTACTTCCGCTTGAAACACCGAATCGCAGTCGAAATTTATCGTCGAATGTCTGCAATGATTTGGAATGTGCTTAAAAAACATATATTATGTGACCTTACTTTTTACTTTTGCACCATTCTGTATGTGATGCAGGATATACAGGATGGTACTTCATTGTGGTACATGAAGAAAAATTATAAACAGGATGAGTCTGAATAAGACTAACAAACTCCAATTTCAGACAATACGCATTTTTTTTCTTGTACACCACGGTTTTTTTGTTGAAGTAAACTTAAAATGTCAAAGAGATTTTCGTTGTTAGATGGAAATTAAATGGAAACATTGCCTTCGATACATTTACCTGATTTTGTAATTGGATATATGAAAATGGATTTCAATTTTACTCAACTTTTATTGAAAATAATGTGAGTCTTTCCTGAATGCCTATTGATTTCGATTTAGCCAGACCACGCTGTATAATTCAGGAGATTGAGTTTAAGTTGTGATGGTTCCTCATCTATAATATCACAGCTCTCTTCATATTTCTGAGATGCGAATTGATATGATAGAACCTCAGATCGAACCCTATAAATAAGTTATCTGTGATGACATTAATCGACAGCAAATATAACAGTCTACTCTCTACTCCTATTTCAAAAAACTGACCAAATTACCATTATGGTAACGTCTAATCCATCAACGATATTCTTCACTGAAGCAATAGGTATTCACAATGAAAAATCGAATATATCTGTCGTGCATAAAATGTTGTAAATATTTCATACGTAACTTGCTTTTAGGGATCTAGACGTGTGAATATATTTTTTTTTATTTTTATAACCGATATTTACATCCGCGGTTGTATAGGCCTTGCATAACTTTTCATGAGGATTTATTTTCTTTCCAAGAATTAATAATAAAAAAGTTTTTCGTATGTTGCCAACTTCTTTAGACATAATGTATATTGTCTAACAAGGTCACTTCAACAGTGCAGTAAGCCGAGCCTTACTATAGTATTTGTTAAAATTCGACATGATCAAGATATGTAGTGGTTTATGTTTTCTAGAGCTTTATGGTTTATCCTGCCAATTAATGTGATATGGGTTTCAACTCGTTCACGCATTTTCAAATCAGATAAAAAACATTTATTGGATTTCATATAATACAAATAAATTAATAAAATAGACCTATTTACAAACAAGACGACGAATATCTCAGTGGTAGTAAGAGGGAGCAGCAGCATGACGGACTACTGGAGCAGATACGCTGGAGTAAAATGCAGCTGGGGCGGAAGAGTAAGCCGATTTAGCTACAGCAGGCGCTCCCAACCTGGCCACAGCAGGAGACGAGTAGGCGTGGGCAGCACGAGGAGCAGCATAAACAGCCTGAGGGGCAGCATAGGCAACAGGCCTGACGACTGCTGACGGGGCGGCATTCTTAACATGCCCTGCGGCAGCTTCCCTATGCACGACTGCGTTGAACCCACTGTGGGCGTCCACGGTGTATTCGACCAGACGCCTGGATCCGTCAGCTTCGACAAGGGAGTAACTACCCTTGACGACATCCCCTTCGCGGGTCTCCTGCTGACCGTGCACGTCTCCGGTGTGAGGGTCGTTGACCTCGTAACCGAAGGAGTAGTGGGCGGGGGCGTATTCCTCTTGTCTGGCATGGGATGGGGCGGCGTATGACGATGGGGCGGCCAGCCTATATTCTGGGGCGGCTTCTCGGATGGGGGCTGATGGGGCCGATGAGTGGAAGAAGGATGGCGATGTTACGGTGGGAGCGGCGTATGATGGGGCTCTGGCAGCCAAGGGGGAGGCAGCAGCATCGTGAGGGTTGATTGGGGATGAGATGCTGGAGTAAGAGACTGCGGTGGAGTCTGAGTAGGCTGGGCGTGATTCCTGGCCGATGAGACCCGCCTGAGCTACTGTCACCAGAGCAAAGATAGCGACGAACTGTGAACAAATTATCAGATTATTATATAGTAATATAGGTAATTGGTTTTGTCACTTATAATTACCAAGAACTTTTTTGTGTCGAAGTAAACTTGACATTTCAATGAGAATCATGTTTCCTGGCGGGAATTAAACGAAAAAGTGGCATAGGTAACTCGTAATAAGCATTCTGAGATTATTCAGGACATTTATGTTTCAGTTGTGATGGTTCATTATCTAATATTGCAGTTATCTTGATATTTCTGAGATGCACAATGATATATATGTGATCCTCACCCAAAATAAGTTATCTGTGATGACATTAATTGATAGCTTATATAGAAGTCTACTCCTATTTCAGAAAATTAACTGAGTTACCATGATAACGTGGATTCAATGCAATGAATGATATTCCTTACTGCATGCAGCCATGATGTACTTCTATAGTTCTTGAGAAGTGGAGAAATATTCACAATGAAAAATAAATATACCGGTCGTGCATAAAATGTTCTATGTATTTCAGGCGTGACTTGGTTTTATGGACCTTAGCGGCACGGTCCATAATACCCTATGTTACGCCCTCGATACATAAGTAACTATTCTGGCAACGCAAGATTGATAAAAATTAACATAAAGGCCATCAAGATTTATTAACAATTCTGGTTGTCATGGTTTCGAATGTTAGGTTCCGTTTGTTCGCCGAAAAACCTAGGAATTTCAAGTATAGGATTCTACTTCTACTTACTTTGAATGCCATTTTGGTGTTTTTTTTGTGTGTCTATCTGGAGGTGATGCAGATCAGGTATGGTTACAAATGTGTAGGTTTAGTATTTATATGAGTCCCTAATTGTAGGAGTGGTCTTAAACCATACACATATACGATCATTTATTCATCATATTACATGGTTATTATAGCACTTTCACTGTATCAGTATAATGTTACATATTTGTCTATATATCCATGCAAAAAATTAAGCGACCTGACCATGAACTAGAAAACTAGAAATGTTATGGTCTATTATAGTATACATACCAAGAAAATGGTACAGCTATCATACAAAAGGTCACTAATTGTTATAGGTACACATATTGAATTGAAATTCTTCAGATTAGCAAAAGTTTTTGGTCTGAATATGAAAAATATTAGAAATCTTTTTGTCGCAGTGTGTTCAATCAAATAACAGACGACGTAATTATTTGAAAAACCCTCGGAAAAATCATGGCATGCAAAAATCTTCATAATTTATATTTGAAATAAAATGTACTATTTTGCTTCTGTTAGTTTTGTTGCTTCAGAAATTTGGCAGCTTCCTGGGGATATATCAATATTTTTCATGAATAATTTTAGGTCATTGTCTGATATATTATTGTGTCATGTTGTGTAAGTGCTGTAACTAAATATTTGGAACAGTAAATATCTTTTCAATAATCGAAACACACCACACCTCTCACACTTTCAATTAAGTGTATAGTTGTGAAATATTTCGACCACAATTTTAATTCAGAAATTATATGTACAATGTAGAATTTTGTGTTTTGCCCTTCAATTTATCATGAAAAATTTGTTCTTCTACGGCTTCAACACAAAATTGCTCTTGTTTTACTGTGTTCAAAATATCAATTAGGTACTTTGTATATGTCATCAATTTCATCTCATTTCAAAATATCTCATCTCCCATGGAATGTCAAATTTCGAGCAATGACAATTCTGTCTAATAGATAAGCATTACTCAAGAGAAAATCAGATGACTACAAGCCGGAGAATTCAAAAAGATCGTTGGTATCTGTTACAGCCGTAGAAAAAATATGGTGTGTTTTTTTTTTTTGTTTTTTTTTATCGCTTGGAGCGCACGAGAGGGAATCCCTATAATGTTCAAAGAACATCGTGCGTTCCTAGGGAGGATAGGGACAGGAGGTAGGTATTGGAATTTTTTTTGAACTTTTGGAGATTATATGTTGTTGGGAACACATCCACAGGCAATGAATTCCAGAGCCTAGCCGTTCTATGGATGAAGGAGTCTTGATAAAGTGCTGTTCGACATCTTTCGAGGTTGACAACGAAAGGATGTGCTGACTGGGCTTGTCTAGTTCGTCTGATTGGTATTGCTAGTGAAGGGATGATAGCAGAGATTTCCGAAGAACATTTCCCGTGGAAGTATCGATAGAAAAGTGAAAGGTCGCCGACCTTTCTACGGTGTTCTAATGATGTCAAAGAGTGAGTGAGTGTGGCGTCACCCACCAAGCGAATGGCTCTTCTCTGGATGGAATCTAAGAGCATCAGCGTATGTTTTGGTGCTGAACCCCATATGTGGGAACAGTATTCTAGAACAGGCCGTATCTGCGCTTTGTAGATCATGAGAAGCTGTTGAGGTGTAAAGTAGCTTTTCGCACGGAACAAGAATCCGAGTTTTTGGGAAGCAGCTTTTGCGATGGATCTGACATGATTATCCCATGAAAGATTGCTAATTTCCCACTCGTATGATTTCATTTTCCTGGGAAATTACTTACTATCAGTTCGTGCTCGTTAAAATATATATACTATAACATAACTATATGAAAACATTTGTGGAGTAGCTAATTTTATTTGTTTTTTGTTTATCAAAATAATGGTGGCTGATGGAGTCCTATATTATCCTAAAATTCAAATACTTGGAAATGTCAAAACAATACGATTTTTAATAATGACAATCAAGTGATACCATTTCTCCACCTGATTGGAAGTATAATTTTTGTGATTTAAAAATAATCCTGAGCACCAAATTTCCAAAACGGCTCCATTCACTGTTCTACATTTTCGGTAATATAATATTACTAGTTCAGGGGCAGGTCATTGTAATTACTTGTTATAAAATACTACACCTCATAATTGGCCATATCAGATCACCACACCTCCAAAAGAAATTTGGTACCTATATAAATCCTCACCCCAAAACTCATTATCACAGTCATTCACAGTTGTGCAAATCTCTCGAAATGGCATTCAAAGTAAGTACTAAACATGTATGTTGCTTATTAATGTTTATTCAGTATCAATTTTATCCAAATGAATTTTCATACAATATAGAGAATGGGTAAACTTTGAACTACATATAGTAAACACCAGAATATGAAGATTTCGCCCAACATGACAAATGGGAATGTTGCTGGTTTAGGAGATACAGGGTACACAAGGGGATGATTTTATTTCAAAATTTCTCAATAACTTCTGAGTTTTATTACCAATATGAACATAAAATTTCGTAGTTTTTAGGTTTTCTGACATGGGAAATACGAACTTGTAACTTACTTTTCTTATTTTGTGATTGCTCATAGACGGCGCTAGTGGCACTCTGGTCAAATTATGATTGATTGATTGATTGAGTAGGCGTCGGGGGGTTCTGCCCGTATAATATACGATGATGAAATAAGTCAAGAATCTGAAAGCTCGCGTTCAATTTTACATGAAAAAATGTTCTCTTTTTTAAATTGTATAGCTCAAACTGTTTGCGTTATTCGCTCCTGAAGAGGTTTGTGTTTCCCTAATAATTTTTTTTATCATTTCAAATTATGAAGTTAGCGGAGTGGCAGTGGAAAAATATAGTAATCAATAATGACAATCTCTAACAACGCCAACAGCGACAGAATTCCCAAGTAAATTTTAACCATACTCAAGGAGACATTCTAATGAAATTGTTCCCATGCAACATTTTGGTGTTTACTATATCTGTAGTTAGTGTAGTTCTGAGATTGCCAATTCTTAATGAATCACCCTGTATACATGAGAAAAAAATAACTATGTATATCATAAACCTTACTAGAATTTATATTTACTCAATTTTCCTCAGTTCGTCGCTTTCTTCGCTCTGGTGACAGTAGCTCAGGCGGGTCTCATCGGCCAGGAATCACGCCCAGCCTACTCAGACTCCACCGCAGTCTCCTACTCCAGCATCTCATCCCCAATCAACCCGCACGATGCCGGTGCCTCCCCCTTGGCTGCCAGAGCCCCATCATACGCCGCTCCCACCGTCACATCGCCATCCTTCTTCCACTCATCGGCCCCATCAGCTCCCATCCGAGTAGCCGCCCCAGAATATAGGCTGGCTGCCCCATCGTCATACGCCGCTCCATCCCATGCCAGACAAGAGGAATATGCCCCTGCCCACTACTCCTTCGGTTATGAGGTAAACGACCCTCACACCGGAGACGTGCACGGTCAGCAGGAGACCCGCGAAGGGGATGTCGTCAAGGGTAGTTACTCCCTTGTCGAAGCTGACGGATCCAGGCGTCTGGTCGAATACACAGTGGACGCCCACAGTGGTTTCAACGCAGTCGTGCACAGGGAAGCTGGCGTAGGTCATGTTAAAAGTGCCGCCCCGTCAGCAGTCGTCAGGCCTGTTGCCTATGCTGCCCCTCAGGCTGTTTATGCTGCTCCTCGTGCTGCCCACGCCTACTCGTCTCCTGCTGTGGCCAGGTTAGGAGCTCCTGCTGTAGCTAAATCGGCTTACTCTGCCGCCCCAGCTGCGTTTCACTACAGCGTATCTGCTCCAGTAGCCCGTCATGCTGCTGCTCCCTCTTACTACCACTAAGATATTCGTCGTCTTGTTTGTGAATAGGTCTAATTTATTAATGTAACTGTATTATATGAAATCGAATAAATGTTTTTATCTGATTCAACTCTTTGAAGCTCATAGTTATTCTGTGTTGGAAGAAGCCTTGATGAAAATAATTGCAGGGGTTGACGGAAAGTATCTCCAGGGCTCATGAACACTTAGAGAGAATACTTTATATATTCGCATTTCTACGGATATCTAAAGCCTGCCTTTTTCAAAAAATGTTTGAATGTACTAAATACCTAACTCGAGCATATCCTTGTTCAAGAACTTTGGTGTTGCCTATATTCGGTCACTAACAGTGACTCAGGTTTTTTTACAGTAACCCTACTCGAGAGCAGGGTCATCAGAATCTACAAAGGCATGTGCTTATTCCATTTTTCTTATTTTATTTTGGTTTTATTTTGTGTGTTGTTCGAGCTGAATAAATGTCATAGATAAAAGGAAAATTGCAATCTTCCAAACAGCATTAACCTTCGACAAATGTTTTGATGATGATGAATGATGAGATGGAGGAGATATTTATTGTAATTGAAGTTATCTTTTGGTGAAATAGATGTATACCTACTCTCCTGAACGAAAACGAGTTTGCATTCAGTGTTTCCAGATCCAACTCTAGTCAGCTCTGGCAAGGATCGGGTTGGTGACCTGGAGTTAATTTTCGAAAATGCCTATTCACAATAGCTACAGAGAGGAACAAGTTATAGCTGTCGGCAATTCTCACATCTCGAAGAGATAGATTTTATTGGATTCTCAATACAGGGGGATTTCGCATTAGTGTGAATCGACAGCTCCATATAAGCAGTAGAAGAAAATTTCGATAACATTATTTCATAAAAAATACCACGAAAATAATAAAATTCTTGCTATGAATGGACATCCTGTGAATTTATAGTATTTATTCTAATGCATTGTTCCATTTCTCTTAATTTTTCTTGTCTCTAAAAATATCAGAAAATATTTGAAGTTAAAATAAATCAGTTGATCTGACCCAAAAGGTCATAGCTATTGAAAAATTCAATATTGAATTCACTAGAGGAATTCAATTGATAACCAGCGACACCTCCTTTGAAAAATGATTGAGGAAGGAGAATACTAGTATATCGCAGAATAAAAAATTTCCTTCCGTGAACGGTTTTCTACAAAAAATGGAAAAAAATATTTGGAAATTGCCTTTGGTATTCTCAATTCACACTTCTAGATGAAACCTACCCTGGCAGAAATTCCAGCATATAGTTTTTTCTAGATGTGAAGAGGAAAATAATTGATATTATGATTCTTTCATCATTATACTTACGACTTAGAGAAAATTGTGATATTGAAACAACGAAACTTCATTTCTTTCTTTTCATTTATTAAATAACTTAGCATTATCTATGTACAAGCCAACAATCAACTAGAACGTTTTAGTGGTAGTAAGCTGGGGCAGCATATCCGTGGCTAAGAGGGGCAGCATATCCGTGAGAGAGAGGAGCAGCATATCCGTGAGAGAGAGGAGCAGCATATCCGTGAGAAACCGGAGCAACGACGGCGTGAGCAACAGGTGCTACAGCTTTGACGTGAACAGCTGCTGGCTCGTTGTGAACAACAGCGTTGAAGCCGCTGTGGTCATCAGCAGTGTACTCTACGGTACGCCTGCTGCCGTCAGCTTCGATGAGGGAGTAGCTTCCTTGAACGGCATCCCCACGGCGGGATTCCTGCTGGTTGTGGTTGTCTCCGGTGTGAGGGTCATTGATGGCGTATCCGAAGTCGTACTGCGCAGGCGCAGAGTGCTCGGCCAAGACAGCGTGGGATACTGGGGCAGCGTAGTGGACAGGGGCAGCTACTCTGACGGCTGGGGCGGCAATTTTGAGGGCTGGGGCGGCGTATGAGAGTTGGGCACCATGAGACAACTGGGGAGCCACCAATGGGGATGAGACGCTGGAGTAGGACACAGACGGGGCTGAGGAGTAAGATACTGGGAGGACTCCAGCGCTGGCTACTGCTGCCAAAGCGGCGAATACAACGAACTGTAACAAAATAAATTGTTCACAATAATGAAAATATTAACTATATTGCTATTGCACACTGTATTGTTCTAGTGAACATCAATATTTAACAACTTATAGCGTATAAATCTTGAACTTGAGTGTGGAACCATATTCGAACACATATTGAAGCAAGAATAAATCTACCAATGAAATTCACACATTGATTTTCGAACTTATATAAATTAGACTCACTTTGAAAGCCATGTTTCTTTGGTTGTTGAATGGGTTTTGATAATTTTCGGGTGATCTGTTAGCTTTATATATGAATGCCTTGCTCTGCCCCAGGTGTGGGTTTTTAATCGGAGCTGATTTACTTTCACTGATTGGGCTAACGAAGACGTGCATTGTTCTATAAGATTGGCATTGACCTAGTGATCGTGTTGAGGGAAATATTTCATGTATGCATTATGTATTCCATAACGTGGGTTCGATAAAGAATCGCTACATTCACTCTCAAACAATTGTCTTCAGACTATACTTAGGTTCGTGGAATTCCTTCTGGTACCCTAAATACACTCAATTCTAAACTATTTTCTCGTTGTATCATACAGATTGGAGTTGGAATAGCAGCTAAGGATGTTCGAACTATTTTAGAAGAATCTATCAAGAAAATTATATACGTCTCCAAAGGTGGAACCCTATATTTAGGGCCGCACTCAGAATGGAAAACTGATAGTATATTTAGAAGATGAAAAAACTTCAAACATCCCACACCGTTGTGGATATGACTTTGGGTTTTTTTCATCTTTGAACTTTGGAACTATACCACTCCACTTCGAGTTACCATGGACTCCTTCCAAAGATGAATGTATTTTCTTTTAGAGGGGAATAGGTATCTTCCTGATGTTCCATTCAACAAGGTTTCAGTTCTAGCAAATGGAACATGAAGTCGATTAATGCCAGGTCATTTGCCTGATTATATCATTTATATCACAGTTCATGAAATGCTATCGTCGTTGCCATTACGCAGGGGCCTAGCTCGAAGTGTCTATGGATTTTTTGTGATTTTTCTGGCAATTATAAGAACCAATATTTTTCCTGGCATGAGTCTATACACTGCATTGCGTGAATCGCTAATTTTGTAAATATAAAGGGAGTGTTTTTAATTGAAACTGATATTGAAATCTCTCTTTGTGGGTCTGAATTAGTGTCTATACATTTTTTGGAATTTTTGGGCGATCAGAAAAAATATAATTTTTGACTTTTGTGATCCTATATATACTGCATTTGCGTGAACCGTTCATGCTGCAAATACAAAAGGGAGAGATTTTTTTCAATGAATTTCACAATGTGATCTTTCTTTATGGATCTGAATAAATTAGTATCTACGAATTTTTCGGTATTTTTAGTGCAATCAGATAAACTATTTTTCGATATATGTATGAGCCACCATGCAATGAGTGAAGCGCATAAGTTTTGAAAATCTAAGGGGAGATTTCGCTACTCAATATGATATCGAATTCTTTCTTCACGGGTCTAAATTAGCATCTATGTTCATTTTGAGATTTTTAGTGCGAACAGGAAATAAATAATTTTCGACCTGTATGAGCCTACCATGAATTGCGTGAATCGCTAATTTGTAAAATCTAAAGAGAGAATTCTCTATGCCAAATCTGACATTAAATACTCTCTTTATGGGGTTGAATTAGCATCTATGATGTTTTTGGGATTCTCGGTACAATCAGGGAAACAATTATTTTCCACCTGTATGAGCACTGCATTACATGAACTGCTAATTTTGAAAATATAAAGGGTGAGTTCCCCATCAAATCTCACATTGAAATATTCCTTCATAGGGCTGTTTGACTGTCTTCGAATTGGAATTATAGGGCAATAAGGAAAACATATTTTTCCACCACTAGCTATAGAACCTATCATTATTTACTCCTTTTCCATGTGTAAAGTGTGATTTTTCTACCATAGTATTTTTCGTTATTTTATGAACTACGATAGTCAACCACCACCACCACCACCACCTCTTTTATAGATCTTATAATTAACCTGAATCATCGAAAAAGTTCACTGTTCTGATGCGAGATTCGCAGAAATGGCACTCGAATCTAGTAGGTATGTATCCATAACGACTTCTCAATTATTGCTGTCATGGTCAAGGTTGAATTGATTTCAATTAGAATGGATAAGAAGTGCGTTTATGGTGACAATAGGTCCATATTTCAGTTTCACAGAACTATAATGATTGAAATATATTGCTAGTGGTGTAAAAAAAAGTAATTTACATCTTGTGTATAAATAACTATATTTCGACCTGTGTGCTTGAACCGCTAATTTTGAAAATCTAAAAGTACTGAAATGTGACTGAATCAGCATCTATGAGTTTTTTGTGATTTTTAGGCCAATCAGGAAAATAATAATCTTTGACCTGTATGAGCCTACTGCATTGCGCGAACCGCTGATTTTGAAAATCTAAATTGAGGATCTGACATCGAGTTCTCTCTTTATGGGTCTGGATTTCTGTCTCTGAATTTCTTGGAAATTTTAGGCCAATCACGAAAATAATATAATTTTCGTCCTGTATATGACAGCGAAAGCCTATACCATAGATTAACGACTCCCCTACTGATTTGCATGATCCGCAAATTCTGAAAATCTGAATGAAAGATTCTCTACTAAATCTGATATCGCTTTTTTTCATCATGGGTCTGAATCAAAGTCTATGCATTGTCTTGGATTCTTAGAGCAATCAAGAAAAACATATATTTTCTACAAACGTCAAAAAAATTCAAGGTTCGCCTATTGATCAATTTCACTTCGAGTATTGTATGTGGACTATATGAGATTTTTGTATATATACTTCATGGTCCTCAATCGACCAAACTTGTTTAAAAATAATAAAGTCTTTTCGCCTCGTCAAAAAGTCAGTTCCCGCTCACCAAAGTAGAATTTCGCGCACTAGATACAAACATAATAAATAATACGGTTCTATAATTTAACTTCCTATATTTCTTATCAACAAGCAGACTTATATACAACAGGATTGTATAACACAACCTCAAAGTTTTGGCATCGAGATAACTCAGTGGTAGTAAGCTGGGGCAGCATATCCGTGGCTAAGTGGTGCAGCGTAACCATGAGAAACGGGAGCAACGACGGCGTGAGCAACAGGTGCTACAGCTTTGACGTGAACAGCTGCTGGCTCGTTGTGAACGACAGCGTTGAAGCCGTTGTGAGCATCAGCGGTGTACTCTACGGTACGCCTGCTGCCATCAGCTTCGATGAGAGAGTAGCTGCCTTGAACGGCATCCCCACGGCGAGATTCCTGCTGGTTGTGGTTGTCTCCGGTGTGAGGGTCATTGATGGCGTATCCGAAGTCGTACTGCGCAGGCGCAGAGTGCTCGGCCAAGACGGCGTGGGATACTGGGGCGGCGTAGTGGACTGGGGCAGCTACTCTGACGGCTGGGGCGGCAATTTTGAGGGCTGGGGCGGCGTATGAGAGTTGGGCACCGTGAGACAACTGGGGAGCCACCAATGGGGATGAGACGCTGGAGTAGGACACAGATGGGGCTGAGGAGTAGGAAACTGGGAGGACTCCAGCGCTGGCTACTGCTGCCAAAGCGGCGAATACTACAAACTGTAAAAGAAAGAAGGTTTAGCTAAGTACTGCACATTACCACGTGAACAGTAGACACAAGCAATTAGGAAATAATTCCATCGTATCTATACAGGGTGTTCCTTGATCCATTTCAAGAATAAAACTTCATATGAACGTATGTCGTAAACTTCCTAACTTTTTAGATACAGGGTGTCAATGTTGAAAATATGTATAGATTATTTGTTTATCCACCCTGTATAGCTTTTCGTGATGACAAAATTCAGTCTGTCATGTGACTGAATCGGTATACATATTTCGAAATGTTACATAATGTGGTTATCCAGTAATGGACGCCCTGAATAGAGTACTCAGACATCAAAATTTGAAGTCTGGTCTCGATTTTATGTTTTTTCTCGAAAACGAAGCGTTTTATCGAGTATATCAACGAGAGGATCTTTTTTGTACATAATTAAATAGCCTTTTATGACATTGTATAAAATTTCGAAATTTTCTGTTGTTGCTCACTTCAAAGTGAAATATAAACAATAATGTTCCCGTAACGGTACCACTGGTAGAGAAAATAACAATTTTTGTACATTAGAAAATGCACCTTGATGCATATCTGACATGAACCAAATATCATGAAAATGTATACAATATTGTCTCAGTTATTATCAAAAAACTGAATATTTTTTAAAACTTCATCACCCTGTATCTCAAAAGCTGAGACTTTTAGGACATACGTTCATATGGAGTTTTCTTATTGAAATAAGTCAAAGAATCATGCCTTTAAGGAACACCCCGTATAAAGTAGAATATAGAACCAACCACCACTGCAACTTTGAAATTGTGCCGATCATTTCGAGTTTTTTCCTTATTTATCAATCACATTAATCAATCAAAATGCATTCGCTTTATCCAAGATTCAATTACGAGTGGTTATTGACTGATTCGAATTCCGTAATTATTTTGAATTTTTTTCAACAGACACAATCACAAAATTTTTGCTTACTTTGAATGCCATGTTTGTCTTCTTGTCAACTGAGATTTGATGATGAATCTAAGTGGTATTGGTTCGTTTTATATAAAAATGGGATATCCCCCAATCGATATATGCCCAAATCACTTTCACTAATTGATACCACCAAAATTGTAACAGTTGATTGTATAATATTTGACACTGACCTAGTGATCGTGTTTTCAATGGTATAACCTGTTGGTGAGTTCAGTTATTCTTCCAGTCGAGTGATTTTCATCATCTACTTGGACTGCTTTATACGTAGTCCTCATTAGGAAAACAACAATTGAAGGGTCTAGTGCGAGAAGGGTATATAAGTGCCAAATAATGTTTTCTGTGTAATGAGGGACTAGAAGTGATTGTTGATACAGAATTCAGCAGAACTAGTATAATAATAGAAACACTGGAATGAACCAGAATATATAGGATGATTTTTGTGTGTGGCACAGATTTACTGAACAGATGAAACAACTGGACTGAACACTATTTTCTACGAAAATAACGCAATAAACAAGACTATCTTCTGCGAAATGTACAGGATAGGTATCTGAAGTTAGTGCAATACTTGGTGATATCTCGTTTCTATATAAATAAAAATAGGGGTACTATTTCAATATTGTATGTGTAGTATAAGAACAAATCGAATGATTTTCGCCAAAATCTCACTGCGTTTGACAGTTTACCTATTGAAGAGCCTGAAAGTCTTAAATTCGATCGATAGTCAGTAACACCTTGATTTGAAAAATGTTTGAAGAAGAGAAAAATAAATAAGTATAT